TCTCCATGGAGGTATTTTTAAAATAAGCAATAATAGGGTGTTTTAAAAGCATGTTTAAGTAGTTCTGCAGGAAACACCATCTTTTATTCAGTGTTTTAAAGGCACATTAGAATACATGAGTATATTGCATGGTTAAAAAAAAAAAAAAAAATCACCTGACAAGGAATGAATGGAACAACTTCACAGACAAAAACTGAAGGCTCTGGATATGAGCTTTCCACAGGTTTCCTTATGGGTGGGGTTGGCTGGATGTCATAATTCACAAAATTAATTTAATACTGTTCTAATGGTAATTAAAGATTCTCATTAAGAAGGGCAAACAGCTCCCCTGTGTTGGCAATAAAAATGCACTTGGGACTTCAAGAGGTTATACTCAAAAATCAATAACCTGCCATTTTATAATGAAAAGGCAAAATAAATGTTAGGAAAAAGTCCACTAAATTAGGAAAATTACCTTTAGGAGAGATTGAAAATATTGATTTTAATTTACAAAATATGTGAACTCTTCATGCCCTACTCTGAGACAATTAGATACTTGCTTGTTAATTCTGCATAAGCTTGAGAAAATCGATTATTATACTATGGGAATATTATGATATTTGTCATTAACACAAAGTCATTTATATGAAATAACTAATAACTCTGACTTTGTAATTAATGCAGGTTTAAGGTTGATTGGCTGAATACCTAAACCAGATCAATGTCATGTTCATCATTTAGACTTGCAGGCACACGTGGAACTATGAAATAAATCTTGCCCCTGCTTACAGTATTGCTTAAATAACAGAATTCCATTAATGTCATTTTAATATTTTTATACTTTCAGGTATATCTTAATATCAAAATGGGTCTCTCCGTTATCATTTTAGTGTTTATTTACACATTATAGATAAAGTCCTGTTCTTGGCTATATCTATAAAGCTTTCATGACTTCAGTACAGCCCAGCTTGAAAACCTTTGTCTCTACCCGTGATTCTAGAAGTAACAAAATGTTTAAGTGCTGTTATGTTCTTTTTTATATACATGCATTACAACAATCACTGAAGTGAATGCTACAAGTATTATCTCCCTGGACGTCTTTATTTGCCTAATTTATTGTCTAAAAAGTATAAACTAAACTTTAGTTTCCAATTTTTAATTAGATGGGTGAGTAGAAATGCACATTGATGTATATATGTATGTACACATTTACACACACACACACACACACACACACACACACACACACTTACAAATACTGAAAAATATTGTTCCAAATATTGAAAAAGCTTGATAGTAGGACTATGTGAAACTTCAGGTGCTGATTTGATTTAGAGGAGATTTGGGCCGATTCGGTGGCTGAATCTCCAAATCTGAATCAAAATCAGGGGACTGATAAAAAGGTCTGAATTGATTCAGAAAAGATTTGGAGAGCTTCAATGATTAGGGCAGTCCACACCTGCTGCAGCAGGGAGCTGGAGCTGGACTCGGAGCTGGT